GCGAGAGCGCCCCACCTTGACTTTACAGCCAGGGAAAGGAAAATCGTATGGCAGAGTGCAACGAAGTGTGTACGGTGTGAGAACCTTAGTGTACTACGGTCACACTTAGCAGGTTGCCGTGTGGAGCGTGTGTCTGTTCGAAGATAAATCGAGTACGGATTGACTGCACAGCGTGCAATGTGTGCACAAGGTTCGTGTCGTACGACCTACGGACAGGACACCACCTTCGCAATACGACCACGAAAGGACGAGATGGCGGGGCGCTCTTGCGGTGCATTACGGTGCATGTACCTGTACCCGAAACGAAGTGCATTTTTAAACTAGGATTCGGGCGTGCTACATGGCCTGTGCAGCTCGAGATCTTAGCCTTGACCTGCTGACTCCAAACCTGACCCAGTCCAACGACACCATAACCGGGCATGCATAATTCACCCCTGCCCCCCCCCCCCCCCCCAGCACTACCACCACCAGATGAAAGTGAACAACAGGTCGTCTAATCTAGGCATGCAAAAACAATACTCTACAGAAAAGGTCCATGCAACACTCACCGCTTAGCCGTGCTTCAAAGCAGATGCGGAAACAAGACTGCATGATCTCGCACACACATTCGTCTGTCATCAAGCTACCAACCTCGGTGAGAAGCAGAGTGCGCAGAACCTGAATGAACAGTTTGAAAAGAAACAGCGAGGGTTGAAAAAGATATTGATAGCCCTATCGTAAAGAGAAATTTGCAGTTATCACGTAGCATGCATCCATATACAGGTGAACTTGGGTGACAAGTGCTAACACCCTTCCCCTCCCCTCCCCGACACACGCACACACATGCACGCAAGCACACACACACTCACACACACACACACACACACACACACACACACACACACACACATACACACATACACACACACACACACACACACACGCACAAACACACACACACACACACACACACAAGTGCACCACATGCGATAAGCTCCCCCAGCGGATCAGAGTGCAAATTACCTGCAGGATCTTCATCAGCACGACTTCATCACTGGCTGGGTCGGTGCCAACAAAGCGTGCATGTGTCACTGCATCAGCCAGGTTAGCCACGGCAGCTGCACTTGAAGCCATGCTGGCGTCTGTCAAGATAATACACACACACACACACAGACACAATGCACAAACACGTTAGTATCGAGCAACACACACCACCTCACTCATGCACATGCACACACACACAAACACACATGCGCGCGCGCGCGCGAGCACACAAAATTAAAAGGAACAAGTTTCGGAGATCACCCTACGCTCCAAGACTGCAAGAGGCCAGTCCCTTGCATGGTCGCGGAATCCAGATTTCATTGATACAGAGCAGCCCGGTCTTTGAACACACATAGTCCCTAAAACCAGGTTTCATGCGTAGAGAGCAGCCCGGTCTCTGAGCATAGGTGGTCACTAAAACCAGGTTTCATGCGTAGAGAGCAGCCCGGTCGCTGAGCATAGGCGGTCGCTGAGCCCAAATTCCATGTGTACAGAGTGCCTTTGAACACAGGTGGTCTCTGGAATCAGGGTGACCAATCCAAGTGCCATGGTTCACTGCCAAAGAATAGTGGCCTCGTAGACCAGGTAGTTGCTTGGCCAGGCCTAAGCTGTAGATTAGATTATCCAGCTCACCTATGGTACCATACGACAGAAACTTGTGTATGGATGACAAGGCAACGCCGGTGATCGGACCGGTGGTGTCCTCCGACTTGATCACGTCCAGAAACGGCGTTAAGTACTCGTCGGGGTCCAGCTGCGCAAGGTCTGCACAGGAACACACACACACACACACACACACACACACACGCACACACACCCACAAACACACACACACATAATTTATATACTCATACCGGTGCAGTCATTGTAAAACCGGGAATTTTTGTTGGTGTAATATTTTCGGTATTTCCCAAAATCAACGATTCGGTAGCGCGAAAATTTCGGTAAACCAGTTTTCCAGATCCAAAAATGCATTTTACACACGGTGGCATGGGCTTGTTGAATTTTAGGTCGCGTTTTATTTTAGGTAAAAATTATCTGTACTGAAGTTACTGAAAATAAAACCCACCGAATTATCCCGGTTTTACAGTATAAAGAATTCACACAACGAATCGCTATGTTCACGGACACAACCTCTCATCTCTCGGTCGTCCATAAAACGCGAAGTCCTTCAACACGTACAGCAGAGTCGCGCGCCCAAGAAACGTTGCTTCCAAGGGGGGAGTCTGGGACGTTCTTACCGCTCAGCAATCTGGCTGCGTTCTTATAGCACGTTCCTAGAAACAATTCGTACTGGCCTTAGCTTATTCAGGCTGGGCGTTCCTGGACTCCACGTTGTTCAGCGCGCCACTCTACTGTAGTTCATTCATTGCTCTTGCAAGGAGCCAACGGCTTTTACCGCATTTGTCGGGCTGCTACTAGTGCCCTACTCCGAACAATGACCATGCGACAACAGCGTAGAGAAGAGAACAGCATGGCTTAGAGATGGGCTAGAGTACAGCACTGGCGATCGCCGAAGAACTGGGGGGTCAGCCTCCTTGCGTAGACCGTTCCTATTTTCACGTATTACTATCTACAATAAATATTACGGTTTATGCACCAGTCGAGTCACCGCGTATACATTGGTATGCTCGTGCTGTGCTTGGTACAATTCTAGCCAGGTCGTTCTTCGGCGCCCGACAGTGCTGTAGCACGTGGTGTTGCTCAACGTACCTGCAACGCCAGTCAGCACCTCCTTCAGCTGAGAGAAGCCGTCCACCAATGGATCCTGATCATCGTCCTGAAGACAACAGAAAACCAAACCAAATTGATGATCACAAAAGGATGTATAACCCTACACGTCACTCGCATCGCCAAAAGAAAATGGGAAACATAGTCAATCCTAACTTTGAAAGCCAGTGCTCCTAGATCAAGAGCTGAATTAAATGCCCCGTGCATCTAAGACAGCACAGCAGAAGTACTCATTATGGTATGGAAGGAAACGACATTCGACATGGTCGACTGCACACAGCTGCTAGGTGCAAGCTGAAGCATCCAACCTCTCAAAAATAATGATCATGCCTAACCTAAAACCTACAGCCACATACTGGGACGTACTCCAAAGACATGCCATCAAAAAAAACTTAGAAAATGGAGTACTTTATAGAAAAGAAAAAGGACCAAGGAACTACAAGTTACGCTATAATGTCCACTAATACGCGTAATGGTATCGCATGAGCTGATTGTTTAGTAACTGGTGGCGGAACTTGTACATAGTTCCTTGGTCCTTTTTCTTTTCTATAAATTTATTCTTGGCTCTCCATCCGAGTCCAAAATGGATTACAAAATATATTTATTTATATGTCTTGTAAAAATGAGTGGAGGGGGTGGGGGAGATTTGAATCGTATAAATGACATCAGGATTCCTGCATGCCTCAACTAGAAAAAAGTCCTCCTATGATAGATGCCGTTGTCCATTGATGCTGGGCACAATGGGCTGAAACGAATCTCACCAGTCACATGCAAGTAACTACAAAGCAAGGTGTGTGGTATCTTGGAAATGAGAACGCTACAAAAAAAGTGATTGGTATTTTGCGCCCACGGCCCACCGAGTTTGACTGTGCCTCCAGCAATGAGCAGCAATTGGAATTACGTAGGCTGGAAAATATGTACACCCGCGGTGCACAACTTAGCTTGTGCTTTGCATATATCATGCACTCGTAAATTGAAATTATTTGAGACAATGAATTTTCATTTCGATGTGATCACAAACAGAGCGGTCACTGGAGAACCTACTCGTGGTTTCAAATTTATACTAGCATATCGCAATCAAATTACCTGACGCCATCTGCTTCCCTTCTTCATGGCGGCAAGCACCAGGGCAATCTCGCCCTGGACGATATACACACCACTGTGTGACATCGCTGATGATACAAAAGAGCGAAAGCTCGTCGGCACATCAAATGACTATTTTAGCTACCAGTTTGTCGACAAATTCATAAGCACAATCAAGCACGACGACCAAAATAGGAGTAGAAGCAATACGAAGAAGGAAATTGACTTCAAAATAATTGCCACGCTGGCAAAACCAGCAAAGACAATCGTAGTTTACTGAAGATACACACCAAATTTCACATTTTTGTCGTTATGTTGGGCACATCAACGACGTACACAAGCATGATGCATGCCCCACAACACAATGAAACATTCCACCTCGTAGGATACAGATTACAGACTACAGTGCGTATCAGCTTTGCTTGATCGTGCGTCATGCATAACCACTTCCCGGTCCCAGTGCCCGAGCCGTGCACGCGTGAGTGTCTTGTATGACCTTGGACCCTGCGCTGCAAAACAGCCAATCTTATCACAAATCTCGAAAATCCAAGTTTTCTCTCAACCCTGTACGAAGGTCAGGGGACTTGGGATGACTTCCGAAGGATTTTTACTTTTTTTACAGGCATAACCGCGCCATAGCTGTTTTATACCTAGACGCCTCAGGGGAGCTGATCCAAAGGGATCACGCGTCATTTATCTCAAACAAGAGTCAAGACGGAACATCCATGCATCGTCATCATGGTCATCGAAACATGCTTGAGAAACAACTCTCCAAGAAAAGGCAAGATGCCTGCTGAACGAACTCATGATGAAACAGCACTTCATCGCGAACGCCACTATAGTCTACACTGCATCGGGGTACTGGGTGCACACAGCTAGGTCCGGGTGGAGACAAACCAGACAAGCTCTGGTAAAGGGCCCTTCAACTAGGCCTGATAAAAACGAACACACGCTTGTCGTTTCACAAGTCTTTTCATTTTCTTCTCCTTGGAGCGTCTCCTTGCCCTCTTGCTGCTGCAAAAATGCCATCGTTTGAAGATCTCCTCAGCTTGGACAATGCGGTGTTCTCCGCTTATCTCTTCTACACTACGCTGAGCATCGGAAAAACCTTGCTGGCAGCCAACGTGCTGATTCCGCTAAATCGCGTGACTGGACATGTAAGTCGTCTAGCTGTGCTTGAGTTGTGCGTGGAATATTGAACCCTTTGAACCCTCACCAACACATGGGCATTGTTCGCCAGCCTTGTGGATAGGAACACGATTGCTTTTGGCTCTCATTTTAAAATCACAAGACTGCATGTTGTGCATGTGCAAATCAATGAACTATTTTTTATTGGATCACCCAGTCAAATATGTACTCAATCAAGAGGGGTTGTTGTTATTGGGGGGGGGATCAACAGAGCCTCAGAGGGTCTACGTATTGGCATGGTATGGACTTTTAGCAATGTAAAGGGGCGGGTCACAGAGCTAGGGAGTTTACGTACGGAGTGTTAGCAAATCCAATCCGAAACTCCTTTTTGTAGAAGGGGGGGGGGGGGGGACCTTCGCCCCAGTTCAGCCCATGGCACTGGGTCACTGGTGGGCAGTTGGCTGCAAGCTCAGTGAACGTTAGGAGCAACTTTTGTGGTGACATAGAGAGCCGCGGGTCAGGTGAACGGGCTGCGGTGCAATTGTCGTCAGGTGTCACAATCGATCTCGCTTCACCACTGTGTCCCCCCGTGCCGGCTGACGTACGAGTATTGGCGCCACATTTGAAGGCCCTGTGAAATATGCCGGCTGGTTTAGAAATTGGAAGCGAGTTTGAGAACTTGAACGCGTATCGCAGTTGGTAGTGAGATTTTACTCATACCATGCTGTCCAGAGCACGGTGTCTCGGAGCCGCACTCAAAGATAAAATTAAACCGTGGCTCGTAATTCTCCCCAAATGTGTCAGTGCGGCGTATACTGCGATGGTCAAATGACTGATGCTATACAGGGTTGATGCGTGTATTTTGTGACAACTATCTGGATGCGGCATCATATACTCCGGAAAATAGGGTACCGTATTTCCCCGAATATAAATCTCACCTTTTACCCTGAACTTCAGGGCCAACAAAGCGGGTGCGACTTACACGGTGCGACTTACAATCGAGCATGACCACTACTAAAGTGAGTATACTGTAAAACCTGGTTTAAGCGACCACCCCACGGCGCAAGCAAAAGCGGTCCGCCGGCGTTAAAAAGCCAGGTGGTCTTTAGAAACAGGTCCCACAGTGTCTGTGTAGAACTGTCCGTGCATGGAAAAACGGTCGTTTAAGAGCAGGTGGTCGCTAAACCCAGAGGTCGCTTACACCAGGTTTTACTGTGTATGTATGAAAACGATAATTATGGACCTGGAAATGGGGTTGTGACTTACAATCAAGTGCGACTTACAATGATCGGGGGGAATGCGGTCCTCCTGGCTCTCGACGTCACAGTCCATTCGGCCAGCCTGTATTCCCGGCCAGGGATACATGTACGTGTACCTGTCCTGATTTTGTAGAACCTGGCCGAATTTCAACTCCCTGTCCTTGGGACTTTCCCCCGGGCCTCTAACGTGGCAAGAACGAATTGCACTGGCCGCACAATGCAGGGTGTACGGTTAATTTCACTGTATCCACTGCTACTTGAACATGTTAGGCCTTGGCGGGGGCCCAAGTAATGTTTGGAAAGTCAGCAGATCCTGCTCGAAAAGCAGCCTGGTGAAATTGGCAGAACCATACCAACCTTATTGCGGGAAATTCCTTGAATTCTGCTCCTCTGCTTTATCCACATACCAGACATGCCGCTGTAACACACCAGAAAAAGTACCGTCCGGCCAAATCTGCCGATTTTCGTCTGCCAGCATTATCCGACGAGGGCTGCTAATTTGTGTGAGACCAACAAAAACCTCGCTAGGGTGCCCGTTTTGGATGAGTGGACTAGATACTGCGTTCAAAACATCATTACAGCGCATAGTCCGGTGTGGTGGCGACCTGGTGTGAGCGAAAATTCCTAAGCTGCTTGTGTAGTTGGCTAGTTTCAGCATGAATTGTTGCAAAAGAAGGATCCGTGAGCGGGATCGGAACCCAGCACCCCTATCTTTCCAGGAGAGTGCCCTACCGAATTACGGGGATCACACACGCACACACGTCGATGCAGCAGCAGTTTGGATAGAGCGGGAAAGAAACAGTTTGAGGCATAGCAGAGCACAGACTGGATTGTACATGAGTATGATCCAGTCTGTGCTCTGCTATGCCTCAAACTGTTTCTTTCCCGCTCTATCCAAACTGCTGCTGCATCGACTGCTACGCATTGCTAAGTCTGGCATACGAGCCATCTTCCAACTCCCCAGAAGGACCCCCACTGCTCCCCTATTTGCCAGACTATCAATGCCTCAGCTCCACCAGCTGTACGTGCAACGGCTGCTTCTCTTCGTCTTCCGCTGCCTTCATGGCAGAGCCAGCTCACTGTTCCAATCCTACTACTCCCTCATTGCCACGGATGTGGACAGAAGTTGTGTCACGCGTGGTCAGGTCAGCCAGCTGCTCAGAGTGCCGTTCCTACCTGGTCCCTCAGGCCGTAGCTCAATCGCCTTTGTTGGCAGTACCACATGGAACTCTCTCCCTGCTGATATTCGCGCTTGCGACGTACGCCACACGTTTCAAGCATTGCTGTCTGGCCATGATCTTATCTCCCTCCTCAACTAGCTCTCCGATGTTGTGCCTACTATGTCTTCTTCACAGACTCTGCCTGAACAAATGCTCATCAATTATGTTCTTGTCCTCTATCCTAGTCCAAATTCTGCCTTGCCCATGCATGACTCTCATGAAATGCCCGTACTAAATAGTCTATAGAACAATAATATTGGATATCATACTTCTCTCATCAACTATGATAATACCCATTTCATACCCCCCCCCCCCCCCTTCATAAAATTAATACCTACTGTTTTCTTTCCTTTCATTTCATCTTCTTTTCCGTTCCTTTCTTCTTCATACAAATTTTAAACATTTTCATCATATTGTGAGAGCCGTGGGCCAATAGCCCCGGTGAGAAGGCAGTCATGCCTGTTCATATGGTGAAGTAAAATAAAGAAACAACAACAACAACACACACACCACACACACACACACACACACACACACACACACACACACACACACACACACACACACACACACACACACACACACACACACACACACACACACACCTTCTTTCCTTCCTTCTTCTCCACTGCCATGACTGGCTAAGTGGCCCCATACGGGGCAGCTCTTGGATTAGCGCTGTCTCCGGGAAGCGGCACCAGGACCCGACGACTGACGTGACGGCGCATTCCCACGGGTTATAATTGCTATTGAACGCCGCGATGTACAACGATGCCGTGCGATATCCTGACGGCGGCGGAAACTGCGGTTGCACACACCGCAAAGCAGAGGCTTGTCGACAGGCTCTTGACGGGCAAGTACAATACGATCCACCCCATCAAGGCACTGGGACTTCCACTCACGGCGATTACTTGCCACGTCGAGCCAGGAATTGGGCTCAATGCCAATTGCCGCCAGGTCGGTCCGCACCACGTCCTTCCACCGCTTCCTCGGACCATGGGGCGGGCGCTTCGATGGCAAGGAGCCAAACAACAGCTGACGAGGGATGCGGTCGCCCCTCGGCATACGTGCCATATGGCCCAGCCACTGCAGCCGCCGCCTGCGAATCTTGTCAGCCGGCTGCTCCAAGTCGCCCCACCATTTCCGCACCTGCAAATTGGAGATGTGCTCATCAATCTGGCGTGCACGACCGATGTGCAAGATCATCCTCAAGCACTGATGGTGAAACACGTCAAGCCGCTGCAGGTCCCTTTGCCGTGTTGTCCAAGTCTCAGAACCATACAGGAGGACAGCCAGAACAGTGACGCCATAGACTACACGCTTGATGCCGATGGTGAAGTCCGAGTTGTAGAACACTGCATCCTTCAAACTGTGGAAAGCGCCCGATGCAGCAGCAATCCTACGCGACACATCATAGGTACACCTGGCATCCGGTGTCACATGGCATCCAAGATAACGAAAGGAGTGCACGTGCTCCACCGTGCCGTTTAAAGGTGCCATGTCCTCGTTCACCACCCCAGTCCCAATAGCCATGAACTTTGTCTTGGCCATGTTAACCTTGAGCCCAAAGGCAGAAGCAGTAGTCTCAAACCCAGCGAGTGCTCTCTCTGCACCGAGGTGAGTCTTGGCAAGAAGTGCAGAGTCATCCGCAAACTGGCATTCCGTTAGTGGAGCCCTGGTGTATGCTCGGAGACGCGTGTTGAACAGTCTGTCCTGACGAAACTGACAAATTGATAGTCCAATCTCGTCGTCACCAGCTATTGCTTCATGCCATTTCTCGACAACAGCAAGCATGTACAAATTGAAAAGAATCGGGGCCATGGTGCATCCTTGACGCAGTCCGTTCCCCACCGCAATCGGCTCCAACAGCTCGCCACCAATGCGTATAGATGCTGACATGTCGACATGGAACGATCGAATTACGGAAACCAGCACCTCTGGTACGCCAAGCTTTGCAAGCACCCTCCACAAGGCGGCCCGCGGCACCGAGTCATAGGCCTTTCGGAGGTCAATGAATACTGCGAATCCCTTGGAAGAATGCTCATGCAACTTCTCCGCGACTTGCCGAACAGAGAATACCATATCCGAGCAGCCCCTGCCTCTGCAAAAACCGCACTGAGAATCAGGCAGATACTGTTCCCCAACACGCTGCAGACGGTCCGCTATAAGCCGTGCAGCAAGCTTGCCAACCACGTCGAGAAGGGCAATCCCGCGCCAGTTATCAGTCAGACTCAGATCGCCCTTCTTGGGGATAGGGACCAGGATGGCATCCACCCAATCCTGCGGTACTCGACCAGCCCGCCATACCTCCTCCAGCAATGCCTGCAGCTTACCCAGTAGAACAGGACCACCATACTTCAGCATCTCGGCAAAGACTTCAGAGCTACCACAAGCTTTGCCGTTCTTCAGTGCTTGCATGGCCTTACGAATCTCCACACGGTCGGGAACATCCGCAAGCTCCCCCAAGACCGGACGCTGGTGAATAGAGTCGAGGGTTTCCACGTCAAAGTCGCTGACGATATTGAGAACTCCCCCAAAGTGCTCCCGCCACCGCATGTTCGTGGCCTCGGGGGTGTCACAAACCTGTCCCATTGAATTCTTGATCATCGAGGGTCACACACACACACACACACACACACACACACACACACCATGTACCACACACCATGTACCACACACACATGCACACACACACACACACACGCGCGCACACACATGCACACACACACACACACACACACACACACACACACACACACACACACACACACACACACGCGTGGCTCCTTCGTGCTACAGAATGTGCAAACTTCACTTTTTCTTCTTTTTTCCTTTTGCATGATAATGACCACAGATAGAAGACAGCCTGCTGGCTACGCTTATGGACGTGCTGGGGCAGCGAGGGTGCATGAAATTGCCACCAGACTGTCGTCGGCTTTCACCGGAGAGTCATAAAATTACGACTTCGTCCGCAGGCAAAGTACGCTCGCTCAGACGGCACGTGCACGCCCCCACATAGCAGGACCGCCGATTGTAATCGATTAGTCGATCGTCACGCCAAAGAGTAATCGATAGGTGAAACTCCACGATCGTTTCAGCCCTAATTAAGATTATTCCCGTTGCTATGCAGAAGACGTTACTTCAGTAACGTCTGGCGCTAGCCAGGGTCCACACAGCTTTAATTTGGTGTTTGCTTGTTTGTTTGTGTGTTTGTGTCACGCCTGGCGCTATCCCGTATCTGTCCCGTACCGTACCGTACCATCAAACACAGTTGGCCACATACAGCTGGCCGCAATATTCAAATAGGGCTTTCAAACGCAAGATCATAACGTGAAGCAACTTGGGAGAATGAGTATGAATGCGAAGTGTATGGGGGAATGCATGTGGGGGCGATAGTGCGGGTTCTAATCCCAGGTAATGCCTTGAAAAAATAGGAGAATTGAAAAAATTATAACATCCCTTTTCTTTTTTTGCCGTCATCAAGGCGTTAGGCGGTGTCGTAATACCCTCGACCGTACCTATCCCGTACCTGTCCCGTACCTGTCCCGTACATATCCCGTACCGTACCGTACATTCAAAGACGGCTGGCCACAATGCATATTCGAATAGGGCTTTCAAATACAAGATCATAACGTGAAGCAACTTGGAAGAATTAGTATGTATGCGAAGTGTATCGGGGGATGCATGCAGGGCGATAGTGCGGGTTCGAATCCCAGGTTATGTCTCAAACAAAAAGTAGAAACTTATAAGAATTTATAACATCCCTATGCTTTTTTGTCTAGGTCATCAAGGCAAAAAAGCATAGCGTAGGGCCCTGAGCTTCCAAGCTCTCTCGTTGTCTCCATGTCGCCTTTTTAAATATAGGATAGGTGGTTCAGAGTGGTTGCATTGACAGGTTTCCAGGGGCGTAGCTGGTCCCCCTTTTAGGAGGGGGGGGGGGGGGGGGTCGGTGCGCGTGCAGACTGCATGGCCACATATGTGTAGGATGGCTGGTGAATGCCATTCATGGTCATTAATGTGCATGCTGGACCTGGGTCGAAATTTTTAGGGGAGGGGCGGGAAAGGGTGCACCTGCCCCCTGTCTGGGCCCCATGCGAGCAGGTACGCACCTGGGTGTTTACTGTTTGTCTGCAGCCATGTCTTCATGTACTCTGATTTCAGAAATTTTTCGGTGCTCAATATTTTCGGTATGAGGGCAAAAGGCCAGGTTAGGTGAACAGAAATTTTCGGTACAGGGAAGCTGTTCCCTATTGGATTATGTGTGTGTGATATCCATGTACATGTCTTGTGTTGACGTCACTGAGACGTCACTAGGACTCTGCGTGCACGCAGGCCAACCTGTGCTTCCTTGCCCTTTCCTTGTTGTTCTGTCTTCCGAGTCCTTGAAGTGACTTCCTCGTTGTTGGCTTTTGTGAATAGAATTATACATACCGGTAACATCCTTGTCTCAGTCTGGGTTGTAATAGTGTGTTAGTGTTTGTTCGGTGTATCGAAATTGTAGGTATAAAGCAGACCCACCGAAAGTACCGAAAATAAAAGTACACCGAAAATTTGTGAAATTAGAGTACTTGGTCTTGGTCACAAGCCACACAGGCCAACGTGGCAGCTCAACTGTTCTGTTTCAGACAGCCTGCTGACAACCCAGGGTTTTTTGTTTTTGTTGTCTTCTCTTCCTGCAGGTTTACCAAACTCCGGAGGACTACACAGCGTTTGCCACTCCGGCAACGAAGGAAGATCCCAAGGCAGCCAGCCGCATCGATAAACTCCGAAAGTAAGGGCGCCTTATCTGTATGTAGTGTGTGCTTGATGGTGGGCGCAACCCAGATCACTGTTCCAGTATTGAAGTGATGTACGTTTACATGAGAAGAGCAAAACGCTGTAAGCACCAAACGTTGAGAGATCGGGATTTTGAGATCAAAACATGCAGCTCCAAGCTGCTCAGCGCGTGCACAGAGCATACAGTGCAATCAAAAGGTCTAATGTCAAGTGCAGGCAAAGCTAGAGTCAAGTGCAGGCAAAGCTAGAGTCAAGTGCAGGCAAAGCTAGAGTCAAGTGCAGGCAAAGCTAGAGTCAAGTGCAGGCAAAGCTAGAGTCAAGTGCAGGCAAAGCTAGAGTCAAGTGCAGGCAAAGTGTCACATTCACTATCTAACTACTACCACTTCATAGTTGTCAGCCACAGTCATATGGATTTAGGTATAAAACATATGGATTTAGGTATAAACCAGAGATGAAATGAAACACTCTTTGGCCGTTACATTGTATCCGAAAAGTGATGAAAAGGATGTGAATCAGTTTGGAGTGTTGTTGTTGTATACTTTATTTAAAGTGGGAATCAAAACAGGCATACGCTTAGCTAATAACAGTGGATGTGTGTCGGTCGCTAATCTCTTGCAGAAGTTGCCTGATTTTAGACTGATTAAGTCTTTAACCCTTTACCGGCAAGTTACTTTTGTATATGAAATCCATAACATTTAGAACGATACCAATAACTCACAACGAGGCCACATTTTGTATGTGCAAGTTATGTTTTATTGGAAGTCTAGTACTACTTCTTGACCATGGAAAAATTTATTTTCTGATACCACACACATACGCTGCTAAATTGGCACCTCTACGTCTAAACACGGAAATTGTACACATGCAAATCGTCAGAGTTCCGACATTGACATGATACTGCCAAAACAAGTCGACTTCGGAGCGAAAACAAACGCCATAGCCATCACAAACTTCAGTGGCCATGCCTCGCTCGCAAATGAGAGCAGCATCGCCCCAGATTCGCTGTCGGAAAGCTCCGTAAGGTCGTACGCAAGCCGTGCTGCGCTGCCGTCACTCAGGTACGTAGAAAGTCGATGGGCTAAAATTCCGTCTCTGGGAGATTGTCGACACGGGAATCGCTCTCCATGGCTTCCCCACCATAAGCACCATCAGATTCTTCCAGTTACATCACGACGACATCGTCTTCAGCGGCTGGCGCTCCCCATATTTGCGTGAGAATTTACTTGGCGTGCGCACCGCTCCGTAATTTGAAATTCGCTTGCATCGGCGGCTGGAACGAAGTATATATCTATCTGTCGTCGGTCCCAGAGCGAATGACTGCTAGGTCGTCGTCGGAGAAGTCATCCGAGGACGAAAGGAACTCACTGCGCAAGAGAAAATGCACCCGACGATGTTTTGACGGACGCGGACGGCATTGTCGGCGCTCGTGTATTTCCGTAAGTTTTCGATCGCGCAGTTCTCAATGAAATCAAATGGGACACGCGTGGATCTCTTCAGCTTCCGATAGGATTAGGCCTCCGCGGAATATGCTCGTATTTTTTACCGATAATTCCTTTGAGCATTGCTCAAAATTTCGACCGATTATTCCCGTAATTCCACCAATAATTCTCACAATTATGCTTTTTTTTCTTCCCTTTTTTCGCAGATACCGTACCGCGTACGGGTTTTTTGCCACTTGTACGGGCAAAAAAATCACGGTTCGCGTGAAACTCGGCTGGAAGCTTTTTTCTTTTTTTCTTTTTTGAAATACTGGGCGATCAACTTCAGGATCACAAGCTTTTTGGTACAAATCAGGCTGTTATAAAATGGAAACAAATTGAAAAAAGGGGGCATTGCTCAAATTTTACCGATTATTCCACAAAAATTGCCAATAATTCCCGTTTTAAAAATCACACCGATAATTCCCGAAATTATGCCGGCATATTCCGCGGAGGCCTAGATAGGATCATACCTAGGCTGTTTGAGGGCCACGGGAAATCCCCGTGGGCTGATGCTTCCCGTCATGCCAGGCATGGTTTTGTATGCCTGTCGAATGCGTCAACGTTGACGCATTCAAGTATGGGGCTGCCGGTAAAGGGTTAAAAGTCGTTATACTATGTAACATTAGGGGCCATCCGTAAATACCGATATTTATTCCCGTAGCTATGCAGAAGACGTTACTTCAGGGTCCACACAGCTTTAATTCCCGTAGCTATGCAGAAGACGTTACTTCAGTAACGTCTGGCACTAGCCAGGGTCTACACAGCTTTAATTCCCGTAGCTATGCAGAAGACGTTACTTCAGTAACGTCTGGCGCTAGCCAGGGTCCACACAGCTTTAATTCCCGTAGCTATGCAGAAGACGTTACTTCAGTAACGTCTGGCGCTAGCCAGGGTCCACACAGCTTTAATTCCCGTAGCTATGCAGAAGACGTTACTTCAGTAACGTCTGGCGCTAGCCAGGGTCCACACAGCTTTAATTTGGTATTTGTTTGTTTGTGTGTTTGTTTGTTTGTTTGTTTGTTTGTTTGTTTGTTTGTGTCACGCCTGGCGCTATCCGTATCTGACGGCAAAAAAGCATAGGATGTTATAAATTTTTCAATTCTCCTTTTTTTTTCAGGCATATCCTGGGATTCGAACCCGCACTATCGCCCTACATGCATTCCCCCATACACTTCGCATTCATACCCATTCTTCCAAGTTGCTTCACGTTAATCTTGCGTTTGAAAGCCCTATTTGAATATTGCGGGTAGCTAGACGGTGTCGTAATACCCTCGATCGTACCTGTCCCGTACCTATTCCCTACCGTACCGTGCCATCAAAGATGGCTGGCCACAATGCATATTCAAATAGGGCTTTCAAATGCAAGATCACAATGTGAAACAACTTGGAAGAATTAGTATGTATGCGAAGTGTATCGGGGGCTGCATGCAGGGCGCGCGATAGTGCGGGTTCGAATCCCAGGTTTAAAAAAAAGGAATTTTTTTAAAGAAAACATCCCTATGTTTTTTTTGTCTAGGTCATCAAGGCAAAAAAGCATAGCGCAGGGCCCTGAGCTTCCAAGCTCTCTCGTTTGGTGTTTGTTTGTGTGTTTGTGTGTTTGTGTCACGCCTGGCGCTATCCCATATCTGTCCCGTACCGTACCGTACCATCAAACACAGCTGGCCACAAACAGCTGGCCGCAATATTTGAATAGGGCTTTCAAACGCAAGATCATAACGTGAAGCAACTTGGAAGAATGAGTATGAATGCGAAGTGTATGGGGGAATGCATGTAGGGCGATAGTGTGGATTCGAATCCCAGGTAATGCCTGAAAAAAATAGAATTGAAAAATTTACAACATCCCTTTTCTTTTTTTGCCGTCAACAAGGCGGTAGACGGTGGCGTATTACCCTCGACCGTACCTGTCCCGTACCTGTCCCGTACCGTACCGTACAATAAAAGAAGGCTGGCCACAATGCATATTCAAATAGGGCTTTCAAATACAAGATCATAACGTGAAGCAACTTGGAAGAATTAGTATGTATGCGAAGTGTATCGGGGGATGTATGCAGGGCGATAGTGCGGGTTCGAATCCCAGGTTATGTCTAAAAACAAAAAGTAGAAACTTATAAGAATTTATATTAAACATCCCTATGCTTTTTTTGTCTAGGTCATCAAGGCAAAAAAGCATAGCGTAGGGCCCTGAGCTTCCAAGCTCTCTCGTTTGGTATTTGTTTGTTTGTTGGTGTCACGCCTGGAGTTATCCCGTATCTGTCCCGTATCTGTGACTACAAAGGCTCCACAGGATTGTACATAACAGCCTGCCACAATATTTGCTGGCTCCCGTATCTGTCCCGTACCGTACCATCAAACACAGCTGGCCTCAAACAGCTGGCCACAATATTCGTCGTATTATGTATACGACTCCCTGATGTATAGGGAGACTTTCTGGAAAAAATAGGGAGACGAGGAGGAAATGCAATTAGAATGGACGTTAGTTGCCGAATAGGTGATATGATGCGTGAGCAAAAACATACTTTGGAAGAGAGATCCCGTCGTCTCCAAAATAAGCGTGAACGGGCGAGTCAGCGCCGGTCACAGGAAACGTCGGAAGAGAGATCCCGTCGACTCCAAAACGCCCGTGATCGGCAGAGTCAGCGCTGGTTCCAGGAAACGTCAGGACAGACATCCCGTCGACTCCAGAACGCCCGTGGTCGGCAGAGTCAGCGCCGGTCCCAGGAAATATTTCCATCAGTTCTAACAGCATGCACGATGAGCTAAGCAACAAAGCATAGCGTAGGGCCCTGAGCTTCCAAGCTCTCTCGTTTAGAAACGAAAACTAGTCGTTTCTCTTCAACCCCCCCCCCCTCCCTCAGAAACGAACCCATGATACAAACGATGCATAGTATCAATATTTTTTCTTTTCTTTTCTGGACGTGCCCACACATACAAACTGTGCATCGATATTTTTTCGAGAAACGAACAAGCGCTCAACCCCCTCCCCCCTAAACGACTAGCTTTCGTTTCTAAATAAATATCTATATTTACGGATGGCCCCTTATATGTAAATTAATACTTTCAAAACACACTGCGTTCCTCGCAGTTAGAGCACTCAGACTTTGATGTTTTGAACCGACGGTTTAAAAATGCTTTGCTGTTCATTTTAGACGTCATTGTGATCGGTTCGGCCGGTAACTCTGAGCTCCGCCGATGAGACTTAACAAGGTGGAAACAGCTGGCTGTGTGAAGATTGAGTATATGTACTTCGAAGTAATTGTAAATCTCTCTCTCTCTCTCTCCCTCGCTCTCTCCCTCTCTCTCTCTCTCTCTCTCTCTCTCTCTCTCTCTCTCTCTCTCTCTCTCTCTCTCTCTCTCTCTCTTTTTTTTTTCTCTCTCTTTCTTTCTCTCTCTCTCTCTCTCTCTCTCTCTCTCTCTCTCTCTCTCTCTCTCTCTTTCTCTCTTTCTCCTTTGCATCTGTGCGTTCAGAATAGTTGCCCATGATTTGGAGAACATCGTTCCCTTCGCTATCCTGGGTCTGCTCTATATGACAGTGCAGCCATCACCAGCAGTAGCGATATGGCACTACCGCGTCTACGGCATATCGCGCCTCCTTCACACGCTCGTGTACGCTGCGGGCATGCAGCCGGCACGCTTCCTCTGCTTCTTGCCGGGCTCTATTGTCAACCACTCCATGGTGGCGCAAATTCTGTATGCTCTGTGCACGCGCTGAGCAGCTTGGAGCTGCATGTTTTGTCTCAGTGTGCATGCGTGTTTGTTTTTTCAAATTTGTTTGATAGGAACAATGGTTAGTGAAGCGTCACCGTCTTCGTTGCTGCTGCTTTCTTTGCCCGTGTGTGCACGTGGCACGTGTGTGTGTGTGTCTAAGTACCGAAAGTGCGTAATGCGTTCCGATCAAGTTCAGAGTTTCACGCCAGAACATTTCCGTTATTGGTATTGTAGTTAATTGTAACGCTACCTGTAGGCTGCAGCTACATACATGTGCAATCATGCACAGTTGACGCGTGATGAACACCAATGTGCAGGGGAATTAGTCCTTTAGGCGAGACCAACCAAAAATAGAGATTCCCGGGCCATCCCGCACCAAAATCGAGCCAAAGCCGATTTTTTGGAACAGTTCATGTACATGTACAGTACTGATCGTGTGAGTAGATTCGTGACGTGGAGTCACACAAACCCGGGCTTGTGCGACTCCCTGATGTACAGATCAGGGCCTTTGTTGGCCGAAATACAGACAAATTGAATGGGTAAACCCTGTACCTGTTTTCTGTATAAAAAAGTTCATAAATATTCATAAGAAAAGGTTTGCTCTTGGAGCTCACACTACTACGAGGTGATTTGGCTTTTTTTAACATTTGGCATTTTTTAACACATGTGTAAAATTTGCTTTTCTTCTGGCTGTTTCTCTGCTCCGGATGGCTGTATCGAAACATGGGTGGTGGCAAATGAGAGCCAGTTTATCGTAGATCAACATTGACCAGAAAATTTGGTGCGTATAATTTAATTCTCCCTGCCACGTTGGTATAACCAAGAGTACATGAAAACCAGAGTGTGCAGCTTGGGGCCTTTTCTGCTATGGGTGTCTGTCACGGCGAAATTCCGTGATTACATCATATTTCTGTCCCCGGGGAAAATTGCGGAAAAAATCGCAAAAAACGCGGGGAAAAACGCGGCATAATATGGCATAATTTGCGGTGAATTTGCGGTAAATATGCGGTAAATATGCGGTGAATAATATTGATGTGCGGCAATTTTCAGTGAGTATGTAGTGAAATCAATCAGTTACAAGTCTCTGGTGTAAGCACTCGTCATATTTGAGTAAAAAGCCGCCACGACGAGACGTTGCTGATCGAACAGTGCACTGTGTGTACGTGTAGTGCAACAAAAAAGTTCAAAAAACGCGGGAAAATCGCGGAAAACGCGGTCTTTTAAAAAATCGCAAAAAACGCGGCCGCGGAATTGCAATTTTCCCCGGGGACAGATATTTGGCCCAGATCTGAGGCGGGAAGTGGCGTAGTGCGTACAACTGAGCTGCAGTTGTGCAGAATTACTACTAATTAGAAAGAGACCTGCTTGGCCTTGAATCCTGCTTGTACGCACTACATCACTAAAATGATGTAATCACGGAATTTCGCCGTGACAGCAACCCATCCGAGCTGCACACTCTGGTTTTCATGTACTCTTGGTATAACCAAGAGTACTCTTGGTATAACTAGTGGTGGGTGCTTTGCCATTTTGTGTAAAATGTGTAAAATGAGCCCCTGAATGGACGAGGAGGGCAGTGAATTGCTTCCGCAGGGACTTTGGGCGACGTCAGGCTGTCTTGCCATCACTAGAGACAGTAATGAAGAACAGTAGGTCACGGAATACACTCTGTGAGAACGAAAACATCGCTGCGATGCTATGCTATCTACTAGTATACAAAAGTCAATGGAGTGATTTGGTTTGACATAAAATTATCGTTATAAGGGTAATATCGTTATAGGGGTTATCGTTATAAGGGTAGGTCGACTGTACTATTCTGTCCCGGGGAAAATTGCAATTCCGCGCCCGCGTTTTTTTCCGCGTTTTTTGCGATTTTTTAAAAGACCGCGTTTTCCGCGATTTTCCCGCGTTTTTTGAACTTTTTTGTTGCACTACACGTACACACAGTGCACTGTTCGGTCAGCAACGTCTCATCGTGGCGGCTTTTTACTCAAATATGACGAGTGCTTACACCAGAGACTTGTAACTGATTGATTTCACTACATACTCACTGAAAATTGCCGCACATCAATATTATTCACCGCATATTTACCGCATATTTACCGCAAATTCATCGCAAATTATGCCATATTATGCCGCGTTTTTCCCCGCGTTTTTTGCGATTTTTTTCCGCAATTTTCCCCGGGGACAGACTATTTCCAGTCAAATGACCCTGGATAATGAGGCCACCTGGTAACAGAGACCACGTTTTGAAGGTCCCTTGAGTGGTCGCGGCACATGATTCACCGTACATTCACGATCACTGCCAGGGAGCTAGGCCTGTCCGAAAAATGTTCTGACTTTTTTTTGCATTTTGGGGTACATTTTGCATTTTTGCATTTTTTCTGAATTTTGCCCATTTTCGGTCGAATTCCAAGGTTTCAGCCAAGGTTTCAGCTCGACCAAGTCAAGTTCGGCTTGCTATTTCGGTGTCTTCTGTCCCTCTTGGCTGACTCTAGACTTACTTAGTTGCACTGGCCTCCTAATCACACAAATACGAACACATGGGTGTTTAGTTCTACATGTACATGCAGGTGTGATGATGTAAAACTACAAAGATGTGTTCTATATGTACAGGTACTAGGCATGCAAGGGTAACACAAGTGACTTGCAATGGTGAGAAAATGATTAGCTTTTCAGGCTTGTCAGGCAATGTCAGCAAAATAGGGGTGACAAGATTATGATCATGCAGTGCGTGTACATGTGACATGATTAGAGGTACATGTACATGACTGTACTAGCAAGGCAGGGATACTACATGTACATGTATACAATACAGTGTGACATGGAAAACCAATAATTATTTTTGTGATCACCATGGCATGGCGGCCATTTTAGATTCTGGTTGCCATGGCAACGGATGCATTTTCTCTGCGTTTTGGGTTGTTTGGCTTTGATTTTTTAATTTTTTTTACATTCCCCTTTGATTTCTTCTTTGAATGTTGGCTGGAAAACCGTGCATTTTGCATTTCCATTTTCCGCAAATTAAAACACATTTTTCGGACAGGCCTACAGGGAGCCCTACATAATAATGTTATCAAGAGTAGATATGTACTCTTGATGTTATATGTAGGGCTCTAGCTCCTTGATCACTGCCAGCAAGAGTAGAGAATCAGACAGTTAAATAATTAAAATTAATAAACAAGACTGTGCAACCCGCGATATTCATGTTAAAACAAAATGGCGTCACGATTTATTGAAAGTGGTATAGTTGGTGGAACGAGTGTTCAAACCCATTTGAACTTCATACTGTTCGTCTTCTTTTTGACATGCTCCCTTTCCATCGTCCTTAGCTTTTATTTGTTGAGAGCTGTTTTGGCTTTCTCCTATACCTCTGGGGGATGCCAAGTGATGGTTTTGAGAGGCTGGTGATGGCTGTGAGCGAGAGTTTGCCGATCGGCGTCGTCCTCGCTATAGCGATGAAAATACTAGTTACTGCGCACCTGGCAGATATCACAACACGTCGGAGCGTCCAGGAGCAAAGGAATCTTGGGTTTTCACTGGAATCTAGTTCCTCCAGCATCGTGTAGCCCACCGTCGGTGAATGGCGGTCCAGAAAGGTCGAACCTGGTCTTCTGCAGCATCTCGCAGTCCTGCGAGGCACACTGAATACGCCTGTCATGTATTCTACAAATAAAAATCACGAAGTTGTGGACTTTACAGTGATGAGTCTATCCTGTATGCTGCAAAAGACGCAGGAAATGTGACTGGTGTCTGTACACTCAGTGACTGGACGCCAACACCCCAGTCTTCTCCTGCAGGATCTGTTTGACATTGACATTATGCAGTAGGTCGGCATTGACCTGGTTTGGCAGCTATCGTTATAGTATCTGCCTGGTTGGATGTAGCAGGTTGGTGTTTGCTCGTCGTCCAGTCCGGAATTTTCTTGTAACTCATGGTGGAGTACGCGCAGGGTTTATGATCATCCCTGTTCACTTCAATATTATCAAACACAACGTTCCCTTTCTCACTCATCTTATCCTGAGTACTGAATTTGCTGACAATATTGCACCATACTTGTCACAACCCACCGCCACTGCTGGCGGTGGCGACTGGTTCGTCAATGGCGGTGACCAGGCTGACTGACTAGCTTCGAGACAGCGGCCTCGTTGTCAATCCCGCAGCAGCCTAAAGGTTGATTTTATTCATCCAGCCTCAGCGCCATGTTGACGATGCCCTAGTGACTGTGTGTCATGGATTGCCTTGCCATCAGCGGTCATTGCCGTCCACCTTGATGCAGCCCTCAACAACTGGCTCAGCCCATGGGAGTCTCAAGTGGACAAAATTGTTGCCAAAGTAGCTCAGAAGATTGGTGCATCGTGGTGTAGGTGAGCACATAACTAGGACTTCCCAGCGTCTATTTGTCCAGGCTGCGATACTATGTGACATGCTGTACTGCACATTCTTTTCAGCACTGCAAGGCCGGCAGCTGGACCGACTGCAGGGGCCGCGCACATGCAGGCCGCCTGTTGCCAGTGCAGCATTCTGGAACGTTCCTTCCTTCTGAGATCCGTGGAATAATAACTTTCTTTGCTTCAAAGCAAGTTGCTTACCTTTCTGTTGTGCTCCCAGTGTCCTTACAACAATAACCTACAGCATTGTTTTATTTTCCTTTCCATTCCCCAACCAATGAATACTACGATGTCGATTCTATTTCTTCATACTTTGGTGTGTGCCCGCGCACGCACGTGTGTGTGTATACCTCACTCGCCACTCGAAGTTCTGTTCCCCATCACTGGAACACTGCCTGTTCTTTCAGGACCTGCCATCATCTGCGGATGGGCATTCAATAATTGTATTGTGTGTGTGTTTCATTCAGAATCAGATCCGCTATCATTGCTATTAGAGAAAATCTGTGGGTTCACATCCAGTGCATTTTTAGATCTGCGTGCTTTTCTCGCCACGGGCGCATACATGGGACATTGTGTGTGTGTGCGTCTGTGTGTATGGGGATATTGTCTGTATCGGCTTTTGGTACTAATGTTCAGGTCTGTGCTTGCATGTGTGAACATGAAATTGTTCGGTTCTGTGCATGCTATTGCTATGTTGTATATTGTA